ATCCCATTTGTCTATTTTGGCTCTTGTTGCCATTGCTTTTGATGTTTTAGTCATGAAGTCTTTGACCATGCCTATGTCCTGAATGGTATTGCCTAGGTTTTCTTCTAGGGTTTTTATTGTGTTAGGTCTTACATTTAAGTCTTTAATCCATCTTGAGTTAATTTTTGTATATGATGTAAGGAAGAGATCAACAATTCTCTTATCAAAAAATCTTCCTCTCCTAGCCATGCCAAATAACTGAGCACTCTGTGAGCCATCCAGCTGTCAGCTAGCTAAGTAGCATTTTCACCCACTAATATTAGTCTTAAAAAAGCAAGAATCAAAAGAGAAGTCAAGGAATATCATAAAATATCTGTGATCACAATGGTAAACATCAAAATTTTCACTAACATTATCTGTGATCACAATGGTAAACAACAAAAATTTCACCAACTGTTATCAATGAGAACAGTTCTATACATTAGCATTCTATTCATCTGTGAGAAAAAACAAAAACAAAACAAAACAAAAAAAACCTTTTTGATATCTGAAGGTCCTCAGAACCCTTTGAGAATTAAAGAGACTTCAACTGCCAGCAAATTCTACATTGGGCATATTCTTTAAGACATTGCTGATCTCACAGGAGGTGGAGAAAACTCTCCAAAACAACATCAATGAAACAAAATGAAACAAATAAACCCTCAGTTCGAAACTATGAGCTGCAGGCACACTTAGCAGGTCAGGGTTTTCCCCATGGTAGATGCCCAGAGAGGTACAGGAGTGATCGTTGCCCCAAAGGCGGATGCCTGTAGTAGTTTTCTGAGCAATCAGTGAGAAGGAGCTGAGTGTAAGGCTTTTGAATTAAGCCAGGATTCTCAAGAGTGTCTGAAATAGTCGTAAGTCAGCAGTACTGCTGGCTACTGAATTCCTAATTAAGACCTTGTAGGAGTCCCCCAGTTTAAGGTCAAGAAGTGTGTTCCAAATACTATCAGCAAGCATGTGAGAAGCTAATCATCTTGAATGACATTCATCAAAAACAAGAAAACTGATACAGACTCCCTGCTCTTCCCCTTCCCGGGGGAAGCAGAAATTGGGATTGCCTGATACAGAATATAAAGCAGCTATTATGGATTATTTAAAGGAAGAGGGCATAGGCTTGCAACAATAAACTATTAGGAATAACCAGGATGATTTGAAAACCAAGTGGAAAAAAAAAAGTAAACCTTCTAAAAGTTAAAAGTATAATTACTGAAATAAAAGTTCAATGGAAGGATTAGATAGCTTACTGGACATAGCAGAAGAAAAACCTGAAACTGAAAGAAATTGCCAAGAATGAAACCAACAGTGTCTTAAAGAATATGTCTTGTCCAGGATCTTTTGGAATGTGAAGGCTCTTAGTTCTTGAAGGATTCATAGGATCTTTGACTATTAAAGAGGTATGTCTTCTTCACTGATCAGTGGAAGAGTAAAGTGTAGAACTGTTCTCACTAGTGAACTTTAGTGAGAAATGTTTGTTTTTACTTTTGCCAGTATAATTATATATTTTCATGTTATTTTGCTTCTGTTCTGATTTTTACTTTGGCAATCAATATTAGTGAGTAAGTAGTGAGAAGAAAATGGAAAATAAAAAAGAGGTGTGCGGAAATGTGAAGGCTAGAATAAGAAAGTCTACTACTTATCTCACTGGAGTCCAGTACTGATGAACAGGTGAAGCCGTAATGCAGAAACAACATGTCCAAGAAGATAAATGAAAAGAAATTCATGCCCAGACACGCTGCAGTAAAACTGCCGAATACTAAAGACAAATAGAGAGTATAAAAGCAATCAAAGAGAAAAGGTAAATCATCTTAGAGGTAAATTGACAAGAGACTTCTCAACAGCAAAATGGAAGCAGAAGGATAATAGAATTCAAAGTGTTAAGAGTGAATAACTGAGTACTCAATAATCTCTCGAGAATGAGAGTAAGCCAGGCATAGTGGCACACGTCTGTAATCTCAGGCCTTTGGGAGTCCAAGGTGAGTGGATCACTTGAGACCAGGAGTTCAAGACCAGCCTGGCCAACTTGGTGAAACCCCATCTCTACTAAAAATACCAAAAAAAAAAAAAAAAAATTAGCCAAGTTTGGTGGTGCATGCCTGTAATCTCAGCTATCGAGAAGGCTGAGGCCCAAGAATCGCTTGAACCCAGGAGGCGGAGGTTGCAGTGAGCCGAGATAGCACCACTGCACTCCAGCCTGAGCAGCAGAGTGAGACTCTGTCTCAAAACAAAAAACAAAACAAAAAAAAGAATGAGAGTGAAATGAAATATCTATTGGTTAAGAAAACAAAAATACTGAAAAAGTACATTTCAAGGATAGTAAGCCAAACAGAGGAGAAGATATTTGAACATCTGTAACAGACGACAGATTAATATCTAGCATATTTTTTAAAAGTCTAAAATTCAATTTTAAGGAAAAGACAATTAGAAATTGGGAAGTGAAAAGCCAGGGACATACAAATCAAGATTTACATTCAATTTTATACATTTTAGATTGTCAAAATTAAGAAGTCTGACAACACCAAATGTGGAAGAGACTAGAACTTTCATAAAACGCTTGTGGGGAGTGTAAATTGGTAGACACTTTGGAAAACAATTTGGCATTATCTTGTAAAATGTAATAGTCACACATTGTACAACCCAGAAATGCTACTTAAAAATATTTACAGGAATATTTAGAGAAACTCTCCTCACAATAGCAAAAAATTGACATTTCAGACATTCATCTGCATGCAAATAGGCTAATAAATTATAGTATAGTCATACAATGGAATACTATATAATTATGAAAATGAGTAAATCATAGTCTTTCACTAAAAAGAACGTAAATTTTAGAAACCTCATACTAAATTTTAATAGCGTCCCAAAAACTACATATAGTATAATACCATTTAGTAAAGCCTCAAACAAGCAAAATTAAATAGTATATTATTTCATTTTACATAGTAGGTGATAAAACTGTATTTTCTTCCTTTTTTTCTTTTCTTTTTTTTTTTTTTTTGAGACAGTGTCTCACTCTGTCACCCAGACTGGAGTGCAGTGGTGTGATCATAGCTTGGCTTACTGCAGTTTGACCTCCTGGGCTCAGGTAATCCTTCCATCTCAGCCACCAGAGTAGTGGCTGGGACTACAGGTGCATGCCACCACACCTGCCTAATTTTTGTGTGTTTTTTTTAATAGAGACAGGGTTTCACCTTGTTGCCCAAGCTAGTCTCGAACTCCTGGACTCAAGCGATCCATCCGCCTCAGTCTGTCAAAGTGTTGGAATTACAGGCGTGAGCACCACACCCAGCCTGTATTTTCTTAAAGATCAAGGAAATGACAAACCCAAATTGAGAATAATGGTTACTTTGTCAAGCCTATTGCCTTTGTAACATCTCAGTCATAATTTGGAGTCACAAACCACCAGAGGTGGAAGTGCTTTCTCATTTTACAGTTGAAAAAGGTGAGGCCCAGAAAGGAAGTTATGTGACATCTATATTAATTCCACAAATTTTAATTTAGCACTATCATAGGCATTTGGATTCCATCCAGGGGTATAAGAGGCTATTCCTGCCCCTGAGGAGCTTATAATTTTAATTGAGCAGTGAGGGAGGGAACAAAATAAACACTTAAACAGTAATAAGTAAATTCTGTGGTGTGTTAGAAAGTCATAAGTGCTATTGGAAAGAAGAAAAACTGGAGCAGAGTCAAGAGGATCAAGAGTTCCAGAAGAGAGGTGGGGCAGGGACAGGCCACAGTATTAAATAAGTTGGCTTAGCCCCATTGAGAGGTGAGACGCAAAACTTGAAGGCGATGAAGGAAACAGGCAAGTGTGTATTTAGAGAAAGCTTTCTTCTTGAGGAAAGAAATAAGTCAAGAGTGATTTCAAGGATTTGGGCTTGAGGATCTGGGAGGATGGCGTTGCATCTGCCGAGATGGAGAAAGTCGCAAGTGAAGTGAGTTTGCAGGGGAGGGTCAGGACTTCAATTTGGACAGGCTGGCTTAGAGATGGCTATTAGTTATTTAAGTGAAGCTGTCAAGTAATCAGAACATCCAGAGTTCAGAATGGAAATTTGGAGAAAGTCAAAATGCATGTCAATGATCGCAGCAATACTAATGCAGTGCTTTTTGCACCAAACAGGGCCAGATATATTTGAAAGAATTAGCAATTAAATTTTATGGAGATGAACACAATAGAAATGAATAGGAATATGATGAACCCAAAAAATGGAGTCAGAAAACATGTCCAATTCGATTTTTTTCAGCTCTTTCCAAAAGATGTAAATATAGCAGAATATTCAGTTGGCCTCAAATTGACGTATTTGTCATTTTGAGATAGCAGTCGATTTTGTGAGGATTTATCTGATTACTTCTCATGTTATTTGCCATAGTCTCTTTCTGTCTGTAAGCCACAACAATGATGGGGCACACTTTCAGCAGCATGAATAAGTGAAACAAATTCTGCAGGAAATTATGCAACATAGAGAATTCCAAAAAAATTATCCACATGTGGATTTTTATTGGCCCTGATCAGATTTTAGAATGAAATGATTATAACTTTGCCAGGCTGCTTAGCACAATTACAAAGGCTGGGGCATGCTGTTGGAATGATTTGCAGAGAGTCTGAACTGATTACATGGTGTTTTATTTGCATTACATTAAATCCAGAGCACTTCTTAGAGCATGCTGAAAACCAAATGTAGAGCCAAGATCCAGTGAAAGCCGCAGCTGGATGTGATCAGTGTCTAAGAGCTAAAAAAGGGACGTGGAGATCCTCTGGTTCTTTATTTTACAGCAAAGAAAATTTAGTTCCAGAGAGGTTAAGTGACTTGTCTAAAGTCACCAGTGACAGAACCGTGTCAAGAACCTGCTTTTTCTGATTCCCAGGCCAGTAAACCTTTCGCCGTAGGTTGCTGCTTCCATGTGTCACAAAGACTTAAAATTTGCTTCTTTTTTTTATATATAATATATATACATATATATATATATATATCCCTTTGCAGGGTTTCTTCCGGAGAACAATCAGATTGAAGCTTATCTATGACAGATGTGATCTTAACTGTCGGATCCACAAAAAAAGTAGAAATAAATGTCAGTACTGTCGGTTTCAGAAATGCCTTGCAGTGGGGATGTCTCATAATGGTGAGTAAACAGTCATCACCATATACTTTATTATTCTCATTATAGCTGCCAGACCAGTGGACACTAAGGCCATTGCCAAAAATGTGTACAGGTTTTCCACCAAATGCCAGAATTTAGAATATTGCATGTCGATAAAACATTTCTCATTTAGGTCAGTGTTTTTAACGTTTAATTATAGAACCCTTCTCTCTCTGGTTGGGCATTTGCCATGAGGAGAGAAGAGACTTGAAAAATCTGGGGGATGATGGGAAAAACTTTAGTGTTTTAGAATAAATATAATGATCATCGTGATTAAATTTTATATTGCTTCATGCATTAAATAGAGAATTATATTTACTTGTGTGTATCAGTAGTGTCTTTCTACTTTAAACGTAAGAAAATCCTGAAGATGTCTGGGTCTGGAACTTTAAGTGGCATGTGAGAATTTAGATTTATTTAATTAATTAATTTTTTTTTTTTTTTTGCTCTTTATCATGCAAAGACAAGTGTTCCTTTCCTTCACTTCAAGGAACATCCATGAGTTGTGGAAAGGGTAAAACAAATTATTTTTATAGTTCTGCAAAACTTTAATGCCATAGAAACGTAAGAGAATAAAACTTTCTACTTTTGAAACCTGTGTCTAAAGTCAAGCTTATGACTTTGGGTGTCAACTTAAGGGAAATGATGTAGAAGACCTGAGAAAAGACCCCTGTTTTCATGATCTGTGGAACTAACTCAGTAAAGTCCTGGAAGACAAACATGTTTGAAAAAATGATTCTTGATCACTATTTAGTTCTCATTGGTTGCCTGGCTGACAAAATAAATTTTAGGTATAACTTGGTAGTATTATATGTGTCAAGTATTAATCAGTTCTTTTCAATGCACTCAAGAAATAAAAAATGCCAACATGACCAAATTAAATTCGAAGTTTCATTTCATCAGCTATCCTATTTTTTCTTTCTTTTGTTTTCATCTCTCTCAAAACTGATCTAGTGAGAAGGCAGTTTTCATCTATATGCACTCTAAAGCATCTGAGAAAATTAAATTTTTGCTCTATCATGCAGATATTTGGTTTTCACAGTGGAAACCATCAAGATATTTGAGAGTCACTCATTGATTAATAACCTACCCTTTAAAAATAGTTCACAAAATTCTATCTGTATCATTACTATGGGTCAATTCCTCTAAAGGCAAGAATGTATTTTGAATAGAGCTATCAGCAGTACTGAACAGGATGGAAATTTGGTCCAACCTTCCTCAACAATTGACTACATCTGCTGTATACAACTGTAGTCATGGATTGCAAAATAATTTGCTGGTTCAGTTCCATCAGTTTCCTTTTTATTTCAGACCTCATAAAACATAAGGGCAAGTTTCCAAGTCAAGGGTTATATTTTAGGTGATGCAATCAAGTTGCAATAAACTTATTTCATCTTCATGAAGAAATCATTGACTTTGAGGTCATTATCACTGAGATAGCCTAGGAAAGCATGCCAGTTCCACTTTTAACACTATTTTTTGCCTATTAAAAAATTATCACTTCACACATTCATGTAAAATATAATTCCTGTTACTTATAGGCAGTGCATACATTTATGTAAAATATATTTCCTGTTGCTTACAGGCATTGCATACGTTTACTTAAAATCAATCTCCAATTGCTTATTGCTTATAGGCAAATATTATTTAAACCCCAACCTATGTAGTATGGATGGTATGATTTTCTCCTCCCCTAAAAGTCAAAGAAGCTATCATAAACTTGATAGGTCATCTTTTGACTTCATATGACAATTTATTTTATCTCTAGAGGGGGTCAATCTTGATAGGAGTGTTCGTTCAGTTCTAGCAAAAGCAAGAAAATATAGGAATTAAGTGTCACGACATCAGAGACTTAGGCAGTTCAACACTTAAAAAATTGCAAACATTACTAAAAAAACCTCAGAGGTTTTTATGGGAGTTTGTTTGCCACACAGAAAAGAAAACATCAGACTAACAACAAGGTTTTGATTAGTTTTGCCTGTTAGCTGCATGAAGAAAACATTTCTAAATACAAAGTTTTCTAGGAAGTTGAGTCACTATTTAAAATCCATTGCTTTGACCAATGTGAAGCCAACAGAGTTTTTGTTCATATAGAATGCCTTTTTATCGAAAGAGGCTCTGAGTTTTATACCAAAGTCAGCACCCAGCTGTTTTCAGTGTGTGCAAGAAAACATGGACGTCCCCCAAAGCAAATGTACTCCATTCTGTGTTAACTTTATTTCTGCTCTCTGGTCTCTGATTAGTCTGGTTGATGAATGTAGCTTCCCCTTTGGCCATGCACTCACAGCTTTGAAGGAGGTTTCTGAAGGAACCAGTAGGGAACCCTAGGGGCTCTTGCTAATGTTATTGGATAGGCACTGAAATCAGTGATCACTATGTCCTTTCACTTTGAAAATTCTGTGATTCTGTATAATCAAACAACCTAACTCACTGGATTTTTCACTTTTCAACCAGCTATTCTGTGTCTTACAATGCTCCGGTCTTCACAAATATGTAGGCACCTGGCATGTCAATTGCCTGAATTTAAAAGTTTTCACCTATATGTTTTGGTACCATAAAATAAAAATATAATTTATGTATCTGAGTCAGGTCTATATATTGTGATCAGTTGCTCAGCAATTTCGGGCAGTTGGTTTGATGGTTAGTGATGTAGCCCGAGAGCAGAAATCCAGAGCCTCTGGGCTAGAGAAAGTATAAATGGCATCCTGGATTATGTAGCGTTACAGCTCTTCAGAGGGAACTTTCATTTTCATTGTGACATATCGCCTACACGTTGTAGAAGAACATAGTTTCAGAATTCTTCCAGTTAGAAACATAACTTCTCAAATATTCACTTTCAGCATGGGGTAGGAAAAGTACCCAGCTGATGGACTGATTGATATGCTTCAGAAACGTATTTTTTTCCTGCAAGTAACGAAAATAAACACACGTTCTTAATTATTTTGGTCATTTAACAACCCATCATTTCTAGACCATGGGTTAATTCCACCGATTGCTCAGAAGCCTTCCTGAGTCATCTCAAGCACAATGAATTCACTACTGTGTCTAGACACTGCCCTTAGAGGAAAGCTTAAAATGAAAATGAAGCAGAAATACAGACCTGCTTCCTAGGCCACTCAGTGGTGCATGTAACTTACAAAGTGATCATTGCATCAACTACTGTTTGTTAGTGAAGCTGGTGTCTGCAGAATCTTGATAAAAAGACGCATGGATAATGTTGCTTCTTTAGTCAGATGGGCTCTTGCACGCATTTTTATAGTTTTTCAAAGTAGTCATTTTTGTTTTAAAATCTTGCTGGCAAGTCCTTTATAGTAATCACATTTTTAAAATATGTCTTCTTTATTTTTATTTTATTATTATTATTATTGTTATTTTTGAGATAGAGTCTCGCTTTGTCACCCAGTCTGGAGTATAATGGTTTGATCTCAACTCACTGCAACCTCTGCCTCCCGGGTTCAAGCGATTCTCCTGCCTCAGCCTCCCAAGTAGCTGGGACTACAGGTGCCCGCAACCACGCCTAGCAAATTTTTGTATTTTAGTAAAGATGGGGTTTCATCATGTTGGCCAGAATGGTCTCGAACTCCTGACCTCAGGTGATCCCACCTCAGCCTCCCAAATTGCTAGAATTAGGCATGAGCCACCGACTGCGCTGGCCTTGTCCTCTGTATTTTTAATAAAATTATTTAGTCTTTAAGAATTTTGACTAGTGGGCCGGGCACAGTGTGACTCATGCCTGTAATCCCAGCACTTTGGGAGGTTGAGGTCAGAGGACCACTTGAGCTCAGGAGTTCGATACCAGGCTGGGAAACATGGCAAGACCCCGTCTCTGCTAAAACTACAAAAAATTAGTCGGGGTGATGGTGCGCGCCTGTGGTTTCAGCTACTCGGGAGTCTGGAGTGGAAAGATCGCTTTAGCCCAGGGGGTGAAAGTTGCAGTGAGCCATGATCGCACCACTGTACTCCAGCCTGGGTGACAGAGCAACACCCTATCTCAAAAAAAAAAATTTTTTTTTTACTAGTGAATAATTCATATTCAGAGCTTTTTTTTTTATGTATGAACTAAATAATAAAATAGTTTAGGCTAAGTGCACTTTTTATTTTTTAAATTTTATGTATTTATTATTACTATTTTTAGAGATGGAGTCTCACTATGTTGCTTAGGCTGGGCCCACCTCAGCATCTGGAGTTGCTGAAACTACATGAAAGTGCTACTGCACCTGACCTATTTAAGAAAATAATCTAGACAAGAATTGACATGTTGTTTATGAATCATTCAGTTAGGTTTTCTCTATAACATTGAGATTTGGTTAAAAATATGTTTTTCATAAATTTAAAAGCTAGTGAAATCTTAGCTTTGCTGACTAGGATGTCTTATGATATAAATGAGAGAGAGTTTTTAATTTTTTTTAAGAAACTGACAACTTTCAAAATAATTTCTCAGTGGCTTCATAAAAATCCAGAAAAATGATTTCACAAATTTTTGTGACACTCAGCATTTTTAAGGTAGTTCTCTCAGTGCCTTGCAAATAGCAGCTCTAGTGTATATTGAGAAAAGGAAAAATTCTGAATGGCAAATAGATTTCAACTTTAACCTATTTCTTTTTTTTTTTTTTTTTTTTTTTTTGAGACAGAGTCTCTGACGCCCAGGCTTGAGTGCAGTGGCACAATCTAGGCTTACTACAAGCTCCACCTCCCAGGTTCACACCATTCTCCTGTCTCAGCCTCCTGAGTAGCTGGGACTACAGGCGCCCGCCACCAAGCCCGGCTAATTTTTTGTATTTTTCGTAGAGATGGGGTTTCACCATGTTAGCCAGGATGGTCTCCATCTCCTGACCTCGTGATCCGCCCGCCTCAGCCTCCCAAAGTGCTGGGATTACAAGCATGAGCCACCGCGCCCGGCTAACCTATTACTTTTTTTTCTTTAGTCTTCTTGGTTGTGCAAAGAAAAATTACCCAAATCTTAACTTTCAGAAAAGGTAACC